AGAGAGAGAGAGAGAGAGAGAGAGAGCATAAAAGAGGGAGCCATTATTGGTTTGAAGAGAAAACTGTACCTAAAGAAAGGTCTAGAGGCCCACAAGACTGCCACCAAGTAACAATTTGTGCAACTGTGGAAAGGCCATCATAAATGCCCTTCCAGAATAATGAGATCAACAACTAACTTATCCACCATCATGGAGCCCTCATCTAGTACCTGTTGGAAACAGAAGCAAATACCCATAGATAAACACTGATTCAAATTAGAATCCAGATGCAGAGAGCAACAAGACCAGGTTGATGAAACACATAGAGACAGCTGACCCGAACAAGGAGGAGCTAATGGGCCCTCAGACTGATTGCTGGGAATCCAGCATGGGACTGACTCAGGGCCCCCTGAATATGGGTCTCAACCAGAAGGACTGAACAGTCTAAGGGACCTCAGACAGTGGAGCCAGGATTTATTCCTGGTTCACAAAAGGACCTTGCAGACACATCCCCCATGGAGGGATTCTGCCTTAAGCTAGAGATAGGAGTGAAGTACTAGTCCCTACTTCAAATGACTTGTCAGATTTACATGAGCCCACCTGGATGGCATTGCCCTACATGTGGAATTTTGGTGGGCGGATGGGAGTTAGTGTGGTAAGTGTGCATGTGAGGGTGCAGAGAGGGTAAGAGGGAGGAAGGGGGGAGTTAGGTAGGTAGGGAGGGAAGGAGAGAGGGAGACGGAACTGGGATCGTCATGTAAAATAAAAAATAAATTAAAAAAATTTTTCATGATGTATATTGGTGTGTAATTTTCTTTCTTAGGTGGTTCTTTGAATGGCTTTGGTAGCAAGGTAATTTAGCCTTTTAAAAAGAGTTTGTCAATGATCCTTATGTGTAGTGAGATATTTCTGTGGCACTGACCACGCCCATTGGGGGGTAGAGCCATGGGCGGAGTGACCTGTGGAAGGAGGTCGGAGGGAGAGCCAGAAAAGGCCCTCTTGCTGGCGTGACTTGGACAGGAGATGATCGGGTTGAATTTCCTGGTGTTCATCTGTCTAGGTTGTAAGTTATTTCTCCCTGAATAAACATCTATTCGGCCTATTTGTTTATCCTGATCCTTATTTAACCGCATTACTTATGCTTTTATTTTTTGGAACCATTTGAGGAATATTGGTATTAGACGTTCTTTGAATTTCTAGTAGAATTCTGCACTGAAGCAATCTGGCCCTGGGCTTTTATTTGGTTGGGGGAATGTTGTTGACTGCTTCTATTTTATTAGGGGTTATTGGTCTATTTAAATTGCTTGTTTGTTCTTGCTTTAATTTTGGTAAGTGATATCTATCCAGAAATTTGTCCACTTCCTTTGAATTTTCAAATTTTGTTGAGTACTGATTTTCAAAGTATGACATGAAGAGTCTCTGGATTTCCTCAGTGTCCATTGCTATGTCCCCCTTTTCATTTCTGATTTTGATAATTTTCATGTGCTCTCTCTGCCTTTTGGTTAGTTTGGATAAATGTTTGTCTATGTTGTTGATTTTTTTGGAAGAACCAACTCTTTTTTATATTGATTCTTTGTATCTACTTCATTGATTTCTCCCCTCAATTTGGTTAGTTCTTGGGGTGTAGTCCTAGGGTTTGAGTTTGCTTCTTTTTGTTCTAGAGCTTTCAGTTGTGCTGTTCATCCTGTAATGTGACTGTCCTCTACGTTCTTCATGTGGGCACTTAGTGCAATGAAATTTCCTCTTAGTACTGCTTTCAACGTGTCTGTTAAGTTTGGGTATGTTGTGTGTTCATTCTCGTTGAATTCTAGGAAGTCTTTAATTTCTTTCTTTGTTTCTTCCTTTACCCAAGAATGGTGCAATTGCACAATGTTCAGTTTCCATGAGTTTGTAGGGTTTCTGCAGTTTGTGTAGTTGTTGAATTCTAACTTTAAAACATCATGTTCTGATAAGATACAGGGGGTTATTTCATGTTTTTGTATGTGTTGAGGTGTGCTATGTTGCCAAGTATGTGTTTGATTTTAGAGAAGGTTCCATGTGGTGCTGAGAAGAAGGAAATATTCTTTTTTGTTTGGATGGGATGTTCTATAGATGTCTGTGAAACCCATTTGTGTCATAACTCTCTATTGCCTATGTTTCCTTGAGTGTTAAATTCCTTGGGTTGGAGTTTTCCTTCCAGAACTTTCTGTAGGACTATTTGTGGATATTTATTGTGTAAATTTGGTTTTGACTTGGAATGTCTTGTTTTCTCCATCTATAGTGATTGAGAGTTTTGTTGGGTATAGTAGTCTGGGCTGGCATCCCTGGTCTCTTAGTGTTGGTAGAACATCTATCCAGGACCTTCTGGCTTTCAGAGTTTCCATGGAGAAGTCAGGTATAATTCTGTTAGGTCTGCCTTTATATGTTACCTGGCCTTTCCTTTGCTGCTCTTAATATTCTTTATTGTATATATTTGGTGTTTTGATTATTATGTGGCGAGGGAACTTTTTTTTTTTTTTTTGGTCCAGTCTATTTGGCTTTCCATATACTTCTTGTTGTTTCATAGGCATGTGCTTCTTCAGGTTGGGAAATTTTTCTTCTGTGATTTTGTTGAATATATTTTTTGCTCCTTTGAATTTGGCTTGTCTTCTTCTAAACGTATTATTCTTAGGTTTGGTCTTTTCATGGTGTCTCAACATTTCCTGGATGTTTTGTGTTAAGGATTTGTTGGATTTAAGATTTTCTTTGGTTGATGAATCTATTTCCTCTATTTTAGCTTCAGTACCTGAGATTCTCTCTTCCACCTCTTGTATCCTATTGGTTATGCTTGCATCTGTAGTTCCCAATCATTTACCCAACTTTTATATTTCCAGCATTCCCTCAGTTTGTGTTTTCTTCATAGTCTCTACTTCAGTTTTTAGGTCTTGAACTGTTTGAATTGTTTCCTTTATCTATTTGATTGTTTTTTTTTTTTTTTTTTATTGGCTTTCCTTGCTTTCGTTAAGAAACTTGTTGGTTTCTTCCAGTTTTTGGGTCATCTTTTCCTCTATATCTTCCAATTTTTTTTGTTTCTTTTTTTTTCTTCCATTTTTAAGGGATTTTCTCATAGCCTCTTTGAGGGCCTCTATCATTTTCATGAAGGTGTTTTTAAGGTCATTCTCTTCTGCTTCATCTGCTTTGGTGTGTTCATGTCTTGTTGGTGTAGAGTCTCTAGATTCTGGTGGTGTCATTTTGCTCTTTCTCTTGTTGAATGTGTTCTTGTACTGCAGTCTTCCCATCTCTTCTTCCAGTGGGTGAAGGTGGGGTTTCTCTCTCTCTTCTCCTCTCCCAGTGGATGTTACTGGGTCAGGACTTTGATGTCAGTAACTCTGGATGGTCTGAACTGTGTTGGAGGTCTCAAACAGAGGTGTAGGGAGTACAAGATTGAAATGAGGGGAGCCTCCAGATGGTCCTGCGTGCCAGTACGGGGTCACTCAAGCAGATGGTGTAGGGGGTTCAAGATGAAGAGCCAACCCAGGAAGTTCCAAGGAAAGGATGGGTGTGGGGGTGGGTTTGACCTGAGCTAGCCCCAGATTCACCTCAAGAAGAGGGCATGGGGGTGGGGCAAGGGTCAGGTGAGGGCAGGCTCTGGATGGTTCTGTGTAGTGTGGCATGTCCACTGTGTGCAGAGCTGACCCAGGAAGTTCCTAGGAGAGGGTGGGGGATGTTGAACCCCCTCAAGGGTTCACTCACCTCAAGCAGAGGGCTTAGGAAGGGCCAAGGCTGAGGAGGAGAGCAGGCTCTGGATTGTCCCGCATGGCAGAGCAAGACCACTTAAGCAGCCAGCCTAGGGGTGTTAAGATGTAGAGCTGACCCAGGAAGTTCCAAGGAAAGGGTGGGGATGCTGGACCGGAGCTGGCCAAACACCTCAAGCAGAGGGCATAGGAGCATTAGTTCCCTTTGTTAACAGGCTGTGTTGTAAGCATATGGGAATACTCTTTTAAGTCCAACTTAGAAATCAGTAAATAAGTCATGTAAAACATGTCATCAAATTAAAACCAAACAATACACTAAAAGTTAAAAATAATGTTGGGGGGGGTGCAGAATAGTGTTGTAACCCTAGTCTCTATTTACCTTAGTCTAAGACCAACTTCCACAGAGGTTCCTTTAACCCAAGTGTTCTCAAGATGTGAAGATGGAGCATGTGGAGGAAAAGGCTAAGTTGGAGCTTTTCTGCTAAGATGCCCTAGTGCTGCTTAGTTGGTTTGATATTTGTTCTCAAGTTCAAGAATTTTAATATCATACCTAATTTAGTAGGTCTAAGTTGGGCATGGCCATATGCATTTTCTTCAAGCCCCTAGATATTGTGTCAGATCTGAGAGTCATTCTCAGAAGAGGTTTACTAAAAGTAACATTTTAAAAATTGACAAAAATAATTTATTTGAAGAATCCATTAATGTGATTTCATTTGTTTTTTTTTTTAATTACAAATGCAAACTGAAAATTTACAAAAATAAAAACATCCATCTGGACATATAATCACACTGACTTTTTAAATTCATAATTTTTTTTTTGTTTTAAGCCCTTCACAAATACACTGTGGATTCTGCTGGAGAGTATCTTATTCCAAGCCACCACTGATTAAGGTGTAGACTACCTGGCTTGTAGACCCAGCTTTGGTAGATGTCTTGAAGTTTGAATTCCATACCTATAAAATAGAGCTAATTGTTTTTTTTTTGTAGGTTGGTTATTGATGCTGTTGCATGCAAAGTGAAAAAATACTGGCCTGTTATGAATAATGGAGAGTTCAATTAAGTAGTTTGAAGTCAGAGAGGAGAGGGATTGAGGATGAAAATATGCTGTGAAGCTCTTTTAAATGGTTGTTTCATTTTTTTCAGACTTTCTTCTCAAAGTAAGAACTGATTAGAATTTCATTGCTTCCTCGACTACAAGTGGATGCTTGTCAGATGTCCCTTTGTTTTTCCTGTGTGCTGTAACTGTGAGCAGGGGCTTGGTGAGAGGATAGCCATGCTGACCATCTCTACTGTTCTCTTCCTTTGCAGATTACTCTTCTGCGGTTCAGAAATTTTCCCAGACACTGCAGTCTTTTCAGTTTGATTTCATCGGGGACACTCTGACCGATGATGAAATTAATATCGGTAAGTCTTCAGCAGCATGTAGCCATACAACTCAGGAAGCCATCCAGACCCATGCAATTTCCTTCTGTTTTGGATACAGAGCAGCACTTGAATGTCCTCATCCCTTTTGGTCCAGTGAAAGCCCTGGGGGACTGCTCAAGAATGTTAAGAAAACATCCCTTTTATTACCATTTCCTCTCATGTATAAGCATTGAAGAGGTTTCCTGAACCTTCATTGAGGCCATTGGCTATACCAATGTGAGACTTTTCTTTAAATCATCTAATAAGTCTCATTCTTGTTTTCTGTTTTGAGTCTCATTCTTGCCTTCTTCTGTAAAATAGGGTTAGTATCTCTCTAAAATTTATTACAGAGGAGATTAAACAATGAAAGTAACAGGACCTCTGTGTTTATTTTTATTCTGATGAAGGTAAATAAAATGAGGACCAGTGAACTATGGCTCTTGTGCAAATGCATCTCCCTACCTCTTTTGCATGTAAATTTTATTGGAACCTAGCCACACTTATCTAAGTGTTGTCTATGGGTGTTTTGTTTGGCAAAACAGCATTGGATAGTAATGATTGATGGCCCTCAAAATTTAGGATACTAACTGACAAGATTGACCCTTCAGTTCAGCTGGCCATAGTGGTGCATGCCTTAAATCCCAGCATCCAAGCCTGAAACACATGGCTTTCTTTGAATTCAGTGTAAGTTTGTCTATATAATGAGCTCCTGGCCAGCCAATGCTACATAGCGAGACTTAGTGAGACCCTGTATTAAAAAAATACACGTGTTTCCTCATGAGAATAATGAACCTACATGGCGGTTATGAGTGATCATACTCTTACTCAAAGAAGTGATGTTTGCACTTACATTTATAATACCAATGATTAAAATGCAAGACATTATTATAAAATCTTGTTGTAGCTAATTTGAATGATATATAAATATATAAAGGGTGCAGTTGTGATACTCTTCATGCGCAGTTAGCTGCATATTGGGCATAGTGGTATATTAACTTCTGAGTATTTTCTTATATGCTTACTACTTTCTTTTAAATCTTTTTCTTTTTTCTTTTTCTTTATTTTCTTGAGACAAGGTTACTGTGTGTCCTGGGCTGGCAGTGAACTTAAAATAAAAAGAGTTATGTTGTTTTACATTACATATTTTCATATATGACTGTGTATGTAGTTGTAGGCAGCTGAGTGCAGTGCTGGAATAGACCACAGTCAGATCCCCTGCAGCCAGAGGTGGTGGTGAGCCATTTCACATGTGTTCTGGGAACTGAAGCCAGGTTCTCTGCAAGAACAGTACCTGGTCTTAACTGCTGAGCTATCGCTCTAGTCCCTGGCTTTGAACACTTGATTGTCCTGTCTCAGCCTCTCAAGTTCTGGTATTGGAGACATATATCATCATGATTGGCTCTTATGTCCATTTTCTTAGCATAGAAATTACTTCTTAATAAATATAACATTTAAGCTAGGGCTATTGCTCAGTTGGTAGAGTACTTGTCAGGTATGTATGAAGCTCTGTATTTGATTCCTAGCACTGCATAAAATTGTATGTGGCTGCACACACCTATAATCTCAGCACTTGGAAGACAGAAGCAGGAACATTAGAAGTTTACATTTATCCTTGGCTGCATACCAAGTTTGAGTCCAACCTGGGCTATATAGATCCTGTCTCAAATAAGTAAGTGTGTGTGTGTATGTGTGTGTGGGTGCATTTGAGTAGGCTCAAGTAGTAACATTTTATAATTTTTTCTTAGAATTTTATACAACAACTTTTCCATGTTTTCAATTTCTCCCTAAGTTTCATGAGAAAACAAGGATATTGTTTCATTCACTGATATTTCTCCAACACATAAAAGAATTCTAAGGCCCCCTACTCTGGCCTCCAGGCCGAAGTTGTCTGCTGGAGGACTGGGTCCGTTTGGCCTTCAGGGCCTGACAACAGTGGTGTCAGAGGTTTCCATTTAGATCAACAACTCCAGCTTCTCACCGTGGACACATCTAAGAAGATGTAAGTTGTTCTCCTGGCCTGTGGGTCTTTTAATCCCATTGCTAACAGCACCTCAGGCTGTTTGAGCTGGGCAAGGACTATGTGAACGCAACAGGAAAATACAGAGTTAGCAAAGGCATAGTTTCACCTTTTGGCAATGCATACAAGAAGAAAGGACCTGCCCATCACCGAATTATTATGGCAGAACTTGCCACCAAGAATTCACCCTGGGTGAAAATGGACACACAGGATAGTCTTCAGAAGGAGTGGGTGGAAACTTTGAAGGTGTTCAGACACCATCAAGAGAAGCTGGCAACTGGTGGCTGTGATCACTCACATTGCTCACCTGTGCTGGACAGGCCTGGGTGGAAGACGAAGTGGGGTGAACAAAAACAGGACTCTAACCCAAAGAAGCCCCAAGAGCCCAAGCCAAATGGTGTGCCTAGGGTGAAATTGTTGTGTGGGGCAGATTTACTGGAGTCCTTCAGTTTGCCTAACTTGTGGAAGATCTAGGACATCACCCAAATTGTGGCCAATTATGGGCTCATATGTATTACACAGGCTGGCAGTGATGCTCAGAAATTCATCTATATGTCTGACGTGCTGTGGAGACATCAGAGCAACATCCACCTGGTGGGTGAATGAGTCACCAATGCCATCTCCTCCACCAAGATCTGGAGAACTCTCAGAAGGGGCCAGAGCATCCGCTACTTGATCCCCAACTTTGTCCAAGAGTACATTGAAAAGCATGATCTGTACAGCTCCGAGAGTGAAGACAGGAATGTTGTGGTTATTCTGGCTCCCCTACAGAGGAACATTGCTAAGGCTAAGCACAGTAATCCCACGGCGTGATGCTGTGCATGACATCAGCTGCTCTTGTGGAGATTCAAAATGACCTGTGTTAGTAACTCAGGGAAAGAATTGCCATCCAGTTTAATAAGCTGAAGTTTAAAGGTTTGATTAAAAAAACAGGAAATAAAAAAAGAATGGTAGACATATAGTAGCTGGTGAGTATATGTTTACTAAATGAGAATAATAGATATATCATCATTATTATATTGTATTTATATATTTGGTATATTTATAGTTTATTTTCTGTTTAGCTACTTTGAGGATTCACCTTTATAGTTTTTTACATTTTTAAATAGTATCAAGATAAATACCTTTGTGTCAATAAGCTTGGTATTTTAACTAAATGTGGTTGTGTACCTCCTAGTGAGGAAGGTACTTCTATTTGAGTTATTTCCAATCTGATTTGATTTCATTCTACTTAGGCTCGTCTGTCCTGGTCCAAGAGCATCATTGGCTCTGGAGGCAGACAGCCTAAATTAGACTTTCAGATCTACAACTTAATTGGTGTGTTACTTGGGCAAATAATTTCACTCTTTGAATGTTAATATTTTAATGTATAAAAGGGGCATATCAGTTACTTTTTTATTGCTGTGACCAAGTTAAGGGAAGCAAGGGCTATTTCAGCTCAATGTATGAGTATATATAGTCTTTGTGGCAGGGTAGGCATGGCATTAGGAGACTGCTGATCACAGTGTACCAACAATCAGGCAGGAGAGAGAGAGATGGGGGGGTTGAATGTGAATTCTGATGCTTCTTTGGCTTTCTCCATTCCTCCATTTTCATTTAGGTCAGGACTCTAGACCACGGGATGTTATACACATTTGGAGTTGTGCTTTTCTCCTTAATCAAACCTCTTTGGAACTCATAGTCATGTCCAGATGTGCCTACTAGGAGATTCTAAATTCCATCAAGTTGATAGTGAATATGAACCATGACAGTGAGGATGAGTTGATCAGAGATAGGTGTGCAAAGTGCCTAAATAAATTTAAGCAATGGGAAAATTATTGTTAATATAAAATCTAATTTATATTTTTCTCTATTGTGTATTGAAGACTTGAATGCATATGACATATGCAATTATATAAATACCTCTTTTTTTCTTTTAGCATTATCTGATATTATGCTCATTTGCCTTAACAACAATGAACAGAGCAGAGAATTGTCCACTGTCACTGAATGTTATCAAAAGATTAACTAGAGCTGTTTAAGAACAAGGGTATATGAACTTAGCATAATGACAAGCAAAAATAAAAATGACTTTCTGGCACTGCCAGATTTCTGTGGGTTTCTGTGGTCTCCCTGATAGCTTTTGTCTATGACATCTTTGTTTTTTAATATGTGATTTCTGATAGCTTTAAATTAGCTACCACTCACCTGAAATTTCATAAACTCCTAGTTATCACTTGACTATTGCTGAAGCAGATATTCAACAGTTTTACATTGTAATTCAAACTTGCCTTTTACAAAATTCACACCTGAGAGATACAATATTGAATTTAAGAAATTAAGCAAGTTTTGAAATTTTGTATTAGGCTTCATTATTAGCCATTCTGGGGGTACTTATAAACCTATGAATCATGAGTTGGATATACCTGCAGAGATTATAACTCAGTGAACTAACTTTTGTTAAGGAAGACAGGAGAATGATTTTGAGAACTCATTGGCTTACTGTGTTCTTTATACATTTCGCATTTGTCATTTTCAAAGCTGAGATTTTTTGGTAGTGTGAGAAGTGGCAGTGTTTCTGAATCTGAGGCTGATACTGTTTGGAGTCTTGAGACAAAATCTTTGGGACTTAGTGCAAGTCTGTTGTTGTTACTCCAGAACCTGATACAGCAGCGTGTTCCATGTCCTGCTGGTTTTGAGTTGTACATTCTCTGTTTACTGGAAGAATTTGTACAGGTCCAGTTAGAATGGAATATAGGGTAAGGCTGTTAGATTTTACATTGAATATACAGGGGCCCCAGATTTCCATAATGGGCTTTTAATGCTAGAATTGAAAGGCGACTCAGTACATTTGCCCATAATAGGTAGCAGTTACCTAGATGTTGTAGTTTGACTGAGAATGGCCCCCATAGACTCATGTGTTTGAACAGTTGGTTCCCAGTTGGTGGAAATGTTTGGGAAGGAATAGTTGGTTTAGCCTTGTTGGAGGAAGTGTGTTACTTGT